CCCTACCCACCCGCCATACAGTCCACTGATCTATGCCTTCCTCCGCAGCAACTTCTGGACGAATACCCGAAATGTTTTATCGTAGGCGTGGATAACGTGGGGTCAAAGCAGATGCAACAGATCCGCCAATCCCTGCGCAACGACGCGGTGCTCCTCATGGGTAAGAATACGATGATCCGGAAGGCCATCAGAGGACACTTGGAGAACAACCCGGCGCTCGAGAAGCTGTTGCCGCACATCAAAGCCAACGTCGGCTTCGTCTTCACGAACCTCGAGTTAGTGGACGTCAGGGATAAGATCCTCGAGAATAAGGTGAGCGCACCCGCGAAGGCCGGCGCCATCGCACCGGTAGACGTGTTCATCGCGGCGCAGAACACAGGGTTGGGACCCGAGAAGACATCCTTCTTCCAGGCGCTGTCCATTCCCACGAAGATCTCGAAGGGAACCATCGAAATATTGGTCAGTAATCGACTGCCATTGGGTTAGCCGTCGGAACAAGTGATGACTAATTGGTGTTTTGAATCCACAGAATGAGATCCATTTGATCAAAAAGGAGGACAAAGTGGGCGCCTCTGAGGCCACTCTACTGAATATGTTGAACGTCTCTCCCTTCACGTACGGCCTAATCATCCGTCAGGTGTACGACTCGGGCACTGTCTTCGATCCCGAGATTCTGGACATCACTCCGGAGGACTTGCGCGCGAAGTTCTTGGCGGGCGTTCGCAACGTTGCGGCCGTCTCATTGGCGATCGGTTACCCGACGGTCGCCTCTGCGCCGCACTCTATCGTCAACGGACTCAAGAACTTGATCGCTGTGGCCGTCGAGACTGACATCAACTTCGCGGCCGCCGAGAGAGCGAAGGAGTACCTGAAGGACCCGTCGAAGTTCGCTGCTGCGGCCGCTCCGGCAGCTGCAGCGCCCGCGAAGGGCGGCTCTCCTGCCAAAGAGGCCAAGAAGGAGGAGTCCGAAGAGGAAGAGGATGACGACATGGGTTTCGGTCTTTTCGATTAGAGGAAGAGTCGACGACAACTCTGAAGAAGAGTTTTTTTATTGTAATTTATTTTGCAATAAAATATTGAGAATAAAAAATGAGAAAAATGTCTTTTTTTGCCGCTTCTTATCGTCGATTTCACTGAACGGATTGCAAAACGTTAATAAAAGGCGAGTCGTTGAGCGCCTGGCGTTCGGCGCACAGCCGTTGACACAAGCGTTTATGCGTCGGAAGCGGCGATTTGAGGGCAGCGATGATCAGCAGTTGGTTGAAGACGTCCCGCTGGGCATCGCTGCCGCCGATTTCAATGATTTCGTACCTGATTTTCATGAGTTTGTCGACCGTTTCCTTATACCGTTCCTCATGGAAGTCAACCATAGCCTCCAGCAGAGGGAGTGTCACTCGAGTCCAGGTGTCGGTACTGACCGACGGGTCGAATGTTTCGATAAGTTGTTGGGCTTCTTTGATACGGCCGGCGCCCAAACAGGCCATCAGGAAGTGGGCGTCATTGAAGCCGAGGATGTGGTCGTTGAGGTGCGGCTCGATTATGGAGTACACGTCCTCCCAGTGCCGTCTTGTGGTCAACTGTCGGGGTTGGATGAGGTCGAGGCGGTACAGGAGTGACGCGGCGTCCACGATGTCGAGCATCGCTCGGTTGTGGAGCGCTCTTCGCCCGATCTCTGTGTCGAACAACTGGACGGCTGTCTCGTACTCCTGGCGCTCGATGTGGAAGAGAGCCCAGTGCCAGAAGTTATGACAGGCCAAGTAGTTGCATACCTGCCAGTCCTCTACTGTGGAGCTCATGAAGTCGATGCCATCGGACGCCCGGCCCTCCATTGTCATCACGTGTGACACCGCGTGTGTCGCCCACCCGTCGTTCCGGTTGGCCTCCAATGCCTGTCCCGTCAATACAGTTGTGTCTCAACTTAATACCTAATTAATCGTTGAATGGATTACTACTCACGAGTCTGGCCTCCCGTTCCGCTCTGTCGTACAGTTGCGTCTCTTCTAAGCCGAAGGCATACATCCCATGAATATAACTGTCCGTCCATTCAATCAAAACAATTAAACATTGGATTGAAGTTTGTTTTCAAAGATTGGAAAACCTTTTGAGTGGAAGTGAACTCTGTTTCCAAACGGGAAGTACTCTCGCGATTGAGTCCCGGATTTGTGTGCTTTT